CTCTTCCCCTCAGGCTTCCCAAATAGTGGACCCAACCAACCAGATGGCTTACCGAACACAAAGGTTCATCACCGAATTAACCAAAGCCCTCCACCGGACCCTGTCCTGGGCCAACAAAACCCAGTCTCCTTCAACTCCTATCTCCCATAGATCCCGCCTGAGATTAACCTCCCATCTACGTCTAGGTTTCTCCAGCGGTCTCTTCCCCTCAGGCTTCCTGTCCTGGGTGTAGGATGGACTCCATAACTTGAGGATAGGAGTGTTTTTATTGCAGCATGTGGTCAGATGACGTGTGTCTCATAGTGAAGAGAATACAAGTGAATTTTTTAAAAAGGAAATATCCTGCTTTTATTTACATTCGCGTAATATGCTGTGCTGACAAGTGGGTCCAAAGAGTTACCTGTTCAGCAGAGATATCATTGTATATAATGGAAGAATGAACATTTTAATGGAACTTCGTATGTATATTGGTTAAATACTTGTAAATTTTAAAATTCTGTATGTGCTACATAAATTGAACAAACCAGTAATAAGCTTCTATGATTATTAGTAACATGTATGTATGTTTATGTAGAACATATACATTGCTTTCAGTATTATGCTGGTATATTCACTTTACTTCAGCAAAACAGTATCATTAACCCTGTAAATCGCAGTTGGAACTGCATATACCACCTTCTTTAACAACTGTGCATTTTGTATGCATGGGTTTTCCCTATTAACAACGATCATTTCCTTGAACAGCATTAACCAATTGATCTTTGTAATGGTAAAATGTTGTTTTCTCTTAGTGGTTTGGACTGAATTCTTAAATATTATTTAGATGAGCTGTAGATTTGAAAGGTTAATTGGTTATGCCTACATTCATGGGTTGGGTATTAACACATGCCTGCAACATCCTGTCTCAATATCTGCTTTGTTTTGTAATGAAACTAACCCTATTTATTAAACAAATCATTTTTATATTGCAGTGAAGAAAATAACTTTACGAGAAGAATGTGACTTGGTGCAATTTTTTTTCCAGAATAAAATAATATGCTGTCATTCATTAAGATGGTCTTAACCCTTTATAATAAAAATTGTACTTCTGTACTCTTCTCTGTTTACTTTTCTAAATATCTTTTAAACTGGTTTTCCAGTTATATATAAAAGTATATGGAAAATAAAAAAATGACTGTATTACACAAAGAATAAAATTGTCTTGCAAACATAAAGGTCCTGAAGATGGCTATCTTCTGGATTGTAGCACCATGCAGTGTGGTAGAATTTTACAGAAGTTTCAGAGGTATTTAAAAGTACCATATCGAGAAAAGGTGGCTGATGCTTTCAATAATTTGTTTGTAACAATAGCCAAATGTTTAAATTTATATAAAGTGAGAAAAGAAGATGCAATATTACTTTTAAAACATTCATTTCCCAGTAAATTCCTTGGTATTAAAATTATTACAACCACTGGTGCTGAGATAAGAATTGTATTCCTTTAAATAAAAACCTCATCAGGTTATGATGAAATAACAAGTAAAATTCTAAAAGCTTATTCATATGTACTTCATTGTCCATTAAGGTATACCTGTAATTGCTCACTATGTACAGGTATTTTCCCTGATTGTCTTACAATTTTCATTAGTAAACTACCGTTCAAGAAAGGTAGCATAAGAAGGTATCGATCCATTTACTATTGTTAACAGTTATAACTTTTTTTAAGTTCTTCAGGCCTTGTACAATCGTTTCTGCCATCACATGCATAAAAACAGCATATGGAAGCAGAAGATGTATTAAAATTTGTTCATAAAAATTGTTGAGGAATATTCTGTGATTTAGCTAAGAGTTTGACTATGTTAACCATTAAATTTTGAATTAAATATACAGGGACATTATCTGACTAGTTCAGATCCTGTTGCCCAGATAAAAAAAGGAGCAAATGAAATAATCAAATGCAACTCATAATTTTTTCTCAAACATGGGGACGAATAAAACGCGGCATTCTTAACTTGCCATAAATACTTTATTACGCAGTTCATAAATAAATAAAAATTCAGCATGTTGATTTTTTTCTTTTATTTACTTCAACTTTTCACGGTCCATCTCCTTACCGCCATTAATTCCATATTATATTTTGAAGTTTGTCCAATGCATTTTCACCGGTTGTGCCGCTATCGTGGAACGTTTCTCCTGTGCTGTATGAGGGTGTACTGTATATATGACATCGAATAGACGAAATGATATTAGGTAAAGGGGAAGGAAAGTTAAATGGTTAAATTAACTCCCTGGTAGTAGAACCCGCCACTGGTCACAATCCTGAGGCGACTCCATACATTTGCTATCCTCACAGCCCACCTTCGTAAGATTCAGCTTGATGTTATCCTCCATTTCCTTCTTGGTCTACCCAATGGTCATTTGCCAGAAGGATTCTCTACCTCTGCTACATGTCCAGCCGATCGGGGCCTCCTAGGTGTCACTCTCTTCACTATCCTAGGTGACCTGTACAATTCACGCAGCCCCTCGTATGCAACATACTAAATTCCCCACTATTTCATCCTTCCTGGGTCCAAATATCTTCCCTGAGCACCTTGTTTTCAACCGCTTGTAATCCACGTTCTTCCTTCAAGGTAAGAGACCATATTTCACAACCATACAAAACATCAGGAGAAATTATTGTTTTATATATCCTGATCTTCAGTGCTTTGGATAGCAAATGAGATGATAACTTTAAAGTAAATTATCGGAGCTATGATGGAGGCAGCAAGGACCTCTGAAACGTCGGTAAACTTGTACGGCACTACACGGGGCAACAACTCAGAAGACAGCGATCTTTATATGCATTAGGTATTTAATTTACTTTGTCATGATAAAATAGCAGATAAAATACAATACAAAATTTACTGGTGGAATATTAAAATCTTTAAGAGGCTGGGCTAAAGTCTGGCATGATCTGTTCTCCACTAAGCAGAATCCCTTGGTAGTTTAAAAAATTATCACTTTTCACAGGGACAGAAGACTCTTTACATTATCCACAAAAGGCAGGGAATATATTGACTAGCTGAGCGACTGTTAGCTTCTCAATAAGGATTTTACTCCACAATCAGTTAGTTAGGTGACTTAACTAAGAATATCGTTATCTTAACATAAGAAACAAAAATTTGCGTACGAAATTCCAAATATCCACTGTGATAAGCAGATAAACGCAAGTTTAACTGAATTTTGACAGCTCCAAATCTGAATCACTGTAAGTGCAGTCAACCAGTTTATGAACAAACGCAGGGAAATTCGAGGGGGGAGCAGTTGGTATCGCTAAACCATTTTCAACTTTTCTCTCTCTCATCCCCCTATCGATATTTTGAGTCTCTAAAAATCGAACGTGGCGATCGAATTGTTAACACTAATGTTTTTGGTTTGAATCTCGGCTGGGACAGTGCCTACCTGACTGAAATTTTTATTTTATTTTCTTAGATCTTGGCATAATGCCTTAAAATAGGCCATGGCCTTCCAATTTTGCTGTTTATTAATCAGCTCATTATACGATGGTATATAATGAGTTACTGACAGCGTTGTTTTAATTAAATCATTGATAAATAAATAAAATCCAAGGGGGCTGATTTAGAAAAGACTTCTCAACCAAAATTTTTATATATTTCCCTCATGTTAGGGTAAGATTAGGGTCGTGCAGATTAAACTACTGTTAATAGGCCTGTAGCTTCCGGAAATATGTAGAATGCATTTTTGAAACGTACAAAACTTTTGTTAAAGTAATTTAAAACAATGAAATTGCAGGTGTGGGAAAAGTTTAATTTATTTATCATTTGCAGAAGGAACTGGTTTACAATTGTAGAAAAGAATATGAGCTTTTGTGTGAGGACAGATTGAATGTAATCATCCGACAATTTGAATCTAAGCAGAATCTGCAAATAAGGTTTCCACCCTTAAAGATAATAATAATAATAATATGTTTAACAAAAATTGGGCGTAACATATTAATTTCATATCAAATCTAAAACTTCTTGACGATGGTGAAGAGTCAATTGAATAAAAATTTTCTTGGATATTATCCATCGTCTAGTAAATATAAAACGTAAAACGACGTTTCGGAGAATATTTTTATTCAATTGACTCTTCACCATCGTCAAGAAGTTTTAGATTTGATTCTCCGAAACGTCGTTTTACGTTTTATATTTACTAGACGATGGATAATATCCAAGAAAATATTTATTCAATTGACTCTTCACCATCGTCAAGAAGTTTTAGATTTGATTCTCCGAAACGTCGTTTTACGTTTTATATTTACTAGACGATGGATAATATCCAAGAAATTTTTTATTCATATTAATTTCAACTAAAACCGACAAAATATTTATAAATCGATTAGATTAGATTCTTACACTAGTGAGGTAAATGGAATTTTGGTACACGATTATAAGCTTACATTAACTAAATATAATATTAGCAACGCAAGATTTGAATGACTGGAATTCAGTGCAGTAGGAATGAGGTTTTTATGAGTTCAGTCCGGAAGCAAACGTCGATTCATTAACGCAGTTATTATTCCAATTGTCTTCTAACTCAAAAATATTTTCCATTAACCAAGAAACAAATTTTATTAAACACGGAACTTATGTAGTGGAATAGGATTTGAGACTTTCGCGGCGAGTACAATTAATGAAATCTTCTCGGGCAATCAGCCTCGTTAAATGGTTATCGTAGTAAACCGACGTTTCGGGAACCAACTCTGTCCCCATCATCAGGATTCTGATATGACTGGATACTTTACATCAGAATCCTGATGATGGGGACAGAGTTGGTTTCCGAAACGTCAATTTATTACAGTAACCAGTTGACGCGGCTGATTGCCCGAGAAGATTTCATTGATTTATGTAGTGGAATATTGGAACGTACCAGCTTAAAACAAATGTCAAAATACACATTTTTATTTTTGTTTCTTGAAATATGTACGCAATGCTGGCCATGGTATTTGTTATCATGACAGTGAGACTGATAACAGAGTTATTGCGCGCGCATTGAGCGAGTTAAGTGTTAATCATCTCCAGTCCCCATTCATGTATTTGCTGTTCATACTGACGTTGGGCTACACGTGTAAACCATGTCAGTGGACAAGACGAACTACCCACCGCAGAAAAAGACCACAAACGGCTGTGGGAGTTGGTCCGGGACATGCACACACTTCAAGCCATCACGGGGTGAGTCCATTTATCATTGTGATTGTATTTAACCGCGGTGTTATTAATATATAAAAGTGATTGACACATTTGTTCTAAGGGAAGACACATAAATTACAAAAATAATTAATATTTTTAGGATATGAGGATTTTACGTGGTGGTCTAGCGGTTAGAACGCTGGCATTGTAATCCTGGGGTTCTCAGGTTCGATTCCCGGCGGTGCCCGAATTTATAACTTGTGTTAGGCAAGGCTGTGGTCTAGGCAACACGGAGTTTTCCTCCGGGGGCTTCCCCGGTTTATCCGTGGCATTCCATTCACACACAGAAGAAGGCAATGGCAAACCACTTCTGGATCATCTGCCAAGAACGTATATGAACAGGTCCCAGTCCGAGAAAAGGATGGAAGGATCCTGTTCATAGGGACCTGTCGTCACACAGAACACTAAATAAATAATAAACTACAGCAATATGCAATTGGCTAGTCAATACCCCCTCCCTACACCCACTATATCAATGGGAAGGCGAAAATATACTTGGTAACACTGATACTTTTCAACTACTTTAAACATTCAACAGCCCTTTCAGTCCACGACCAAAAAGGATCTATATAAATGAATTAAGATTCTGTTCTTCTGGGTTGTGACGTCGAGTAGTCTTGTAAAGGGGTCACGAAAGTTTCGGACGAACTACTCCATATTCAGGGTTGAAGATTTCTCGAAACGCTGATACGCATCCAAAAGACTACGCGACAGCCAAACCAAAGGGTCACAGTCCGAGCACCTGTCTCTTAACGCGCTGGACTCAGTTTTATTCAGAATTGCGAGAAGTTCCTGTAATATTTAAGATACTAAGTGTGTTCCATCGAGATGAAAAATTGTGTTCTCATTTCGAAATCGTCTAATACCGAAACGACTTAATCCCCAGCGCCTTAAACGAAGCTTTACTGTACTAAAAATAACGCACAGAGACGCTGAATTTTTAGATTTCAATTTCAGTTGAAGATCTGAAAAGTTATTTTAACACAAATACGTTTCATTAAACCGGTTCGTGGTACATGAACATCAAAAATGAGTTTTTACTTCTAATAATTCTTGTTCTGCAGTTTTCCGGTTAACATCTCGGCCTTGAGATCAGTTACTCTGACATTGCCTTCTAGGACGTTGCGTCATGTACTCTGGTATATACTGACCGACGTTTCAGAGGCACACCGCACCATCCCAGAAGTTAACCATCATTTTACGCTCCACCGTGAAGATCTAAAATCTTATCCTAATATTTTTGTGGTATTACTAAGTCCCTCTAGGCAAATATCGTGATTCTATGTACAAGATATTCATAAGTATGTGCCATTAATGTTGAATTCTTAGCTGAGGGAAGACTTAGTTATTACACATATTACCACAAATCGTAGAAATATCCTCCATGTCCATGAAAAACACATTTATCAACACGAAGACGTCGGAACGAGGCTCTAATGCCCGAGATGTGAGACAAATCTCGTTTGCTGAATCCTGTACGCGTTGCAAGATTTGATCTTTGGCGTTAACAGTCTTGACGTAAACCGAATTTTTAATGCGCACAAATAAAGCTCTATAGGATTGAGGTCTGGTGATCGTGGTGGCCACTACATAGGAGTCTCGGGACCATGACCGATCCACTCGCCTAACCACTGACGTACAGCCAGAATAAAGTGAGCCGGAGAGCAACAAAGCATCCTCCAATAACTGAGGTAAAGTGTAAGGACAAATTGAAGGCGATGGAACCTGGATCATTCCTTGATTCCGGCCCACACGTATCACAATCGACTACTCTTGACGTTTCATCCTCAGGAACACTTGCAGATTCTTTTATGTACGCCCTGAAGCTCCCTCTTAATTTAAACACCCTGTATGTATATAATAGGTTGCTAAGTGTGGTGTTATGCGTGACTGACAAGAGTTATCAGTAATGACCCTAGATGACAGAATATTCTGTTTCAAAAGTGATGAGCCATTACGTTGCCCTCAGAACGTCTTCTAAAGGACACGAAGATGCTACAGGGAGAACAGAAAGGAAGGAAGAAAGGGGGTAAAGGATAAATATATGAACAAAAGTTCCCCATTGAATTCCAACGGGCCACTTCTACTAACAGCCTTTGAGTTAAGTCATGAATTCTTCTTTCCATACGTTTTCCAAGTCATTTTCTCTAATAATCCTGTTATTCGACTAAACAAGCTAGAATATGAGCTATTAAAAACATCGATACATAAACCAAAATTTAAGATTAAGTATCATTTCCCATTTAAATTTAAAGGGAAAGGAAAAATTTGTATCTTTTTTAAAAACTTTATTTATTTTTTTGTTGGAATTAAAAACCTTCATAAAAAGAGAAATATTATTTAATATATTTTCATAGACGCACCAATTTTTCGGACTCCCCTGTATAATATTTTAGGAACAGTGGGAAAACTACACGATTTTTCGGAACTGTCTCTCAAATAAGAAATTTTTTGAATTCAATCTCTTTCTGATTCACCGCTTGGGGAAAAAAAACCAACTGAGCAATGCGACATTCCACTCATTTTGGAGGCGACAAACAGACAGACAGACAGACAGAGGCAGAGCCCTCCTGTGTACTTGGGCATTATAAAATTCACTATTCGTGGTTATCGCTCTCCAGGGCGACGAACCCGGGATCAGCCATGATCTAGTAGCGCCTTGCTTCTGCTCGTTTCATGGTACACGCGTGCTTATGTTATTAATTACTCATATCAAATGCGATAATTAGCAAGATACTCGCTGACGTACTATCAATATCACAGCTTATGCAACGTGGATAATGAAGTGGGGGAAATTGACAGTGGCCTATTTTAGCGTAACTACTCTCCGATGATCATGCGGAGAGGAAGAGTAGACACTTCGAAAGATGTGATGCCATCTTCAGGAATGACTGGAGACTTGTAATCTTTAAATCGGTATCATACAGGCACCTTTGGGAATTTTTTTCTAAGTCCGATGTATATGTTACAGGCAACGTATAGAATGCCTAAAGTCAGTAGGCAATGTATGAAATAAATTGTAATGTAAATATTGTTTGGTTGCGTAAATTAAAATTAATCAAGGTCGATTGGGTAATCTGTCAAGATGGAGTTTGTGCAAGATAGTAGCGAAAACACTAAGCTACTGAATCTGAATATAATAGAAGTTTTGAGAATTAAAAACATTTTTTTTATATTAATTTTTTTTTGAAAATATAAAATATTAAATAAAATATATAAATCGTATTACAGAAACTTCTTTGTTATATACTTTACCTAAAGAATCTGAGGCACTTTTTAAAATTCCTATGCAAAGTATAAAATAAACTGTTAGTTTCATACATTGCCTAAAAGTTCAAGGCATTTTATAAAATGCCTGGGCATTCCATAGAATGCCTACTGACTTTAGGTATTCTATACATTGCCGGATTTCATAGTTTGGCGGTAACACATAACGTTTAAAAATACTACCATATCTGTTTCTGCAAAGGTTAGGTTAGGTTAGGTTAGGTCATCTGATGCATAAGCTACAAAAATGCCTAAATAGCGATTAGTCAACAAAATGCTTTTCTATACGAATAATTCGTTTAGAAAATCGGCAGAAAGAACCCAGGACTTTTTGATCGTCTCGCCATACCGCGAAGATGCGATAACCTCGGACCTCGTCTGATGGAGTTCAGTGAACCCAGAGGCGAAGAACAGAACCACGCTGTGCGTGCCAGGACTTTTGTTTCATTTTGTACGACAAAATTTGTAAAATCCGTCTTGAGAAATGACTCGCCAATGGAAACACAGCTAGGAGGAAGCTGATGTAATATTTGTCTGTAAAAATCGACATGAACAATCTGTGATTGAAATCTTTCCAGAAATTTCAACATGAAGATCGTATAAACATACTCAATAATTAAGACCCCGACATATATTAGACATTCGAAAGGTAAAACAGTCTTTATTTAGGTTTAATATTAAGTAAAATAAAAAAAACAATAAATATAATTTAAGGATATTTTAGGGTGATAAATTATTGTAACATTACAAGTTAAATTTGTAATGTGACTATGTTATAAATGTACTTATTGATAGTACCAACAAGTTCTAATTGTTTGGAAACCTAATGTGTACCATCAGGAAATGTTATTCGGGTGTGAAGTTCAAAAATTTCTTTCGTGATGAAAATAATTCGATTGTCAGTAGAAATATTTAGAGAACTCAGGCTTTAAACAACAATACGACCTCTAGCTGTATTGCACTGTAACATCTGTGCAACTCGTCACCTCATTTCCTTAGAGGTCATTTCAATTTGGCACGACAATCACCACTCAATGATGTCTTGGTTGACTGTGGAAATGGCACAGCTGTTGAAAGAGTTATCAGATAATAACGCGATTAAGTGTTATGATATTTTAACTCTTTGAAGAACGAAGCTCGTCTAAATAATAAGCCCCCATTTCAAAATTTCAGTCCGTAATGCAAAACACAACGCATCTACGTCACAAATATCAATTGGTTAACGGTATTGAGGGAATTTATCGCTGTTTATTTTCAGAATCTCATAATTCCCATTAAAACTTTGTGAGTAAAATGTTTAGTTATTGAATGTTGAAAGCATTAATAATGCTAATTCATTGTTTCCACTAAGAAGCTGAGGTCCAGTCAGCCTAATATGGGCTACGATGGGTGCAGGAGGGTCATTCCTCAGTAAAAGAACGGGTGTCCACTTCTGGAGCACTGAAAACTGGAAGATTTTGGATTTCCAATAAGATAAACTAAAAAACATAATCAGAATTTATAGAATTTAAAGAACTCAAATAAAACTCACAAAAATATCTGTTGGTTTCTGCCCCCCCTCCCCAACATTTCTAGCGCAATGAGAATTGGGAGTTTCTGCAATTCTAATTTTTATTCTTGTCCTCTAAACCCCCAAGCGAGAACATCAGTTGGTTTGAAACAAGCTTTTTCTTCTGTTAATAAATAACTTTTATCATCTGTAAAATTTAATGATT